ACTGATAAACTTACGAAAATAGATGCGAACGAAAAACAATCAAAACAAAAAACAAAACAAAAACAAAAAACGCGCTTTTGTTGGTGTCTAAATTGAGTCGTGAAAAGATGATAATAAAGGCAGCCATAATGGATACGGTAAAAACATGGAAGAAAAAATAACAGAAATTATCAAGAAAAGGAATTGTGAGAAATTGTGTCAGAACTCAGATTGAATCGTTTCGGACGCCATTGTAAATGCTTAGATGAAATCCGAATAATAATAATAATAATAATAATAATAATAATAATAATAATAATAATAAAAACGAAAGAATCTTGGGGTTTTATTACTAACAAGAAAGGTTGATTAGTTTTTATTCCAAAGGCAAATAAAAAAATAATTGATGTTGTAAACAGAGAAAAAAAATAGGTTGAGGGTGTAATGAGTGATCAATGCCGAAAACAAAGAGAATTGTGAACAATGTGATGACTGTTGCTGATCGATGAAAGGCTGCTACTTCAGACTGTTTATTTGAATCTAACGGGAACACGAGGTCATAGACGATGTTACTGGCAGGTCACGTGATATTCTGGAATGGCGTCGTCATTGAATTCTTTTTTTTTTATATCTGCAAACGCTGCGCACAAATATGAAATTCATTTGTGTAGGATTCTTACGAAAAACAAAAGAAAAATCGCTAAATAAAAATAAGGTAAGATAAGTAGGCCTTCGTTTAATTAATTTGACACAAACTGTTTATCCAAAGGTTAAATATGCAACTTATGCAAATCAAGCAACATAAACATCAATAGTTCATAAACAGCGGATGACGTGTATTTCCGTCGTTCAAATTTTATGATTCAATTACGAGTGGCAGAAATCTATGCCGCAGTTGAAGGGTTAATAAATTTAAAAAAATTATCCAACTCTCATCTTCTAGAAATTATTCTGTCCAGTTTTGAGAAAAGAGGATTTGCATAAATGAAAGACAATACTTATTACACAAGAATATTTACCGCTTCCAGATAACAGTGGATATCCTTCTATGTTAATGAAAATATCTGTTTCATTTTGTGGAAACGTTCAGCACTCATTGACCCAAAAGCCAGCGTTACTATCGATTGAAATTTATAAAAGTTTCTATTAAATTATTTTTTTGCGAAAATAGGTTTCTCAAGTCCATTAACTGTTATCATTTTTTCGTTATTGATGGCGGTTTACTTCCTGGGCTTTTGTTTGAAGTTGTGTGGAACTTCAATATTTTGATCTTGTCACAATTTTCTCCTTGTGTTATATCATATATCCATTTTACTTGTTGCTTCTGTTGAAAATCTTCAAGTGACGTGGTTTCTGTTATTTGTTACCGGTCGCTATTTGTGATTCTGTAACGCCAGTTCATGAAGATGGACGATCCTCTCCAAGACATAGTTTTCATTTGCTTGAAGCCATTTTTAATCACTGATAGGAAGAAGCGGTTAAATGCAGCTGACAGTTTATAACCGAATCTGACGCTATACAATGACAACAATATGAATGTCTTGATTTGACGAGGTTATTTGAGAACAATGTTTATACATTAAACTTTTGTTTTTGTAGCAACTTGCAGTTTGGTGGAAAACAATTGGTGCAGCCTATTTTATGTTCATTTTCTTTAGTAAATGTTGGATTTCTTATTTATTCTAAATATGAAAATCCATAGAGACAGCATTTCTGTGTTTTATATTTCTGCCAATTCCGTTGTTTCAGCTGAACATGCATATTTGAGTTGTCTTCAGATGAGGCCAGTCTCGGCCAAAGAGAAATCTGAAACTTGAAATCTTAAAGAAGGTAACAGATAGCCATTCCTCTATCTTTCCTGGAAATCATGGCGATTCACATAAAATAAAATGAATATATGGAGAGACAAAATTGTCTACATGCTGAAGGATTAAATTTATAGAGTACGCCAGGCTTTTGAGAAAATTACCTCACGTGATGTTACGAGGCGAATTTGAATATTTCAATTTCTAATGTACTGTCACATATATGCAGCATTGTTTAGAAATAAAGCAGCATTTGATGAGATATGAACTTGCATTCACTATTCTTGAGAGGACTCGAAAGGGACAGAAACTTACAAGTTAAGCCACGGACTTCCATGAGCTTATGTAACAGAAATTTTGCCATATTGTTACGATTTTGCAGATTCTGTTTATTTGGCACGATATTGTTTATACATCTATTAGTAGTTCACTTTCATGGATGGAACATATAACAAGGAATTTTCCAGGAAAAAGTAAACAAAAAGTACTTAGAATAGAAAAACTTGGTTGCTTTGATACTCAAAAGAAATGTAGTTGACAACCTCCAGTCTGAAATAGGCAAAGAATCGAGAAACCATGGTCGTGACACTTAACGTCAACTACCGAGAATCTGAGATAATGAACTTCATGAAAGTGGTCAGTTGAACAGCATAATAAGACTATGAAGGTACTCTTATGGAATCTGACCAAATGAGGTTTATTTTTCAGCATAGAAACTCATGTGGTCTATACACTTCTTCCATCAGTGTTGTATTGGATGGATCCTATTAGTGAAGAAGCTTTCATCCTTTTGGTAAAAAAGTCATCAACAGAAGACATAATGCCATCATCACTACGATACTTGTTCTCAGTCAGAAAGTAAAAGAATAGTGAGGATGATCAACCATTTCAAAGACACAATCACACACAACAACTATTTAAAACCAGTAACTCGGATGCTGGAGCACTCTCCTGGTGAAACAAGACCCCTTTCTTCAGTTTTCTTGCGCGTTTCGTCTTGATAGTCTTTCATGACTGTCTCAACAATTTGGAATAGGACTCTCTCCATTGATGATGTAGCCCTTCAAAGGCACAATGCCCGTTGCATCACAAAAAAACAGATCATCACCTTTCCTGCAGATAAAATGACCTTTCACCTATTTTGCAGCAGGTGAGGACGTGTGTTTCCATTGCATGTATTTTCTCTTAGTCTCTGGTCAAAAGGGACTCAACCAACACTCATCCTGGATTTTAAAAAAACATTAAAATATCCGAGATTTTTTTTAGATGTGATCAGCATGGAACACTTTTGATCAGGTGTCAAAGGATGCGACACACAATTAGCAGAAATCTTCGTCATGACAAGTTCATTGTGCAGAATATGTTCAAATTTCTAACGGGCTATGCTAATATCATTGGATATTTGGTTTGGAGTTAATTGCCTGTCATACATCACCATTGAACACGATTAATGTTTTCTATGGTGCAGCAGCTGCAGGACATCCAGAACTTGGGTCATCTTCATGATTCCTACTTCGCCAACTAAATTCAGCTGCTCACTTTTGCACTGTTGATAAAGCTGGCTCTTTTTTTCTTTCTTAATGTAGCAAAAACTAAACATTTTTTCAGAATGATGACAAATTTTGACCATTTTGTCGCTTCTAGTTAAGTCTTCTTTCAACAATCAGATATCAGTATCTGTCTATATTTCTGAGATGAGGTATTATGTATACTATTTCAATTATTCAGACTATTGTCTTCATCTTTGTCGCCATATTTATTACAACTTTTCGGCCTTCTTCAGGTGGTTGGAATGTCGAACTAGCCATGTTCCACGTGAAATGTTTTTAATGGATGTCAGTTATTGGTTATCTCCTGTTAATTCCCCTTTCCAAGTATTGAACTCACACTCTTTGGGTCCTGTCACTGTATCTAACCAACACCTTTATCCACTGTGCCGTGTGTCATTGAGGACATCTGTGTATGAATTTCTGGGTATTATGAACCTAATGTTTTCAGAAACTATTTTTACCAGTGCTCATACTACATTTTTTTGCTGTTATCACACCATGTTTTTACCAGAGCCTATATTGCAATTTTTGTTGTTATCACATTTCTCTGGCACTCCTTTAGTCAGATATCAGTTTAGCTAAAGAAAAACACTGTAGTTATGAATAAGTTGATCTGAAATTAATACATGCAAGATTTCACAGCTGTATAATGTCTCCTTCGTAGCCTATGAACTTTTCAGCCCTTCCTTTTATCTATCTATCTATCTATCTATCTATCTATCTATCTATCTATCTATCTATCTATCTATCACAGCCTCTTCGCTATCTATGTATTTGAAGCTGTTCATTTCTTTCTTTCTTTCTTTCTTTCTTTTTTTTCTTTCTTTCTTTCTATTTTTCTTTCTTTCTTTCTTTCTTTCTATAAAGGGAAAATAATATTGCATGATTTATTTCAAAATCCTTTCATAAAATCTCTGGAATTAGCAGATTCAGTATAAAATTTTGGATTGTCTGTTTTTTATTTTATTCTTAAGTATGCAGCATCTTTGTAGACAATGTTTTTTTTTTCTATTTCGAATTCATTCTACTTATATAACTTAATCGAATCAGTATATAGCTAATGATTATATGATCCAGTCATATTTTCAAAAATATAATTTACACACTGATTCGCATATTTGTATTTTTAAAATGGAATTTATAAATTTCGCCATATATACCATGAAATACTGCGTAATTTTGTGACAACATTAATAATTAATTTGAAACAACATCATGAATGAAAAATATAATCCGGTTCAGGCACCAAAAATAAATAAACAGTAGAAAAGAATTGAAATTGTAAGATGTTCTTAGATTAAGAATTAATTTTTTTACAGTTATTTCATTTCCGCTACAAGCTTCTTGAATATAAAATGAAGAAATGTCTTGAACACTGAGTTAAAAAGCAATATAAAGAAAAGAACATTCATAACAAATGCAAATACTTCATATAAGCTATTCAGACAGAGATATTGAGTCTACTACTTCTTTTATGAGATCTATGGCCCTCCACAACTTCCTATACTGTGTAACTTTAACACTTATCCCCTTAATATACTTCTAGATAGACAGATAGACACTGAGAATAGGCAGATAGATATATAGATAGAAACAAACTGAACGATAGATCAATAGAAACGATAAAACTGAAATAGATAGATAGATAGATACGAATAGACTGAAATTAGATAGATAGATACGAAGAGACTGAAATTAGATAGATAGATAGATAGATAGATAGATACGAACAGACTGAAATAAAATAGATAGATAGATAGATAGATACGAACAGACTGTAATTAGATAGATATGAACAGACTGAGAATAGATATATACGAACAGACTGAGAATAGATAGATAGATAGATAGATAGATAGATAGATAGATAAAGAGATAGAGAGAGAGAAAGAGGGGGGATAGAGAGAGAGAGCGAGAGAGAGAGTGTGAGGAGAGAGAAACGAGCAGTTCCTATTTTGCCATTTATTTCATCGAGAATGTTAGGCAGGCAGATATATAGATAGGAATAGACTGAAATTAGATAGATAGATAGATAGATAGATAGATAGATAGATAGATAGATAGATAGATAGATACGAACAGACTGAAATTAGATAGATAGATAGATAGATAGATAGATAAAGAGATAGAGAGAGAGAAAGAGGGGGGATAGAGAGAGATAGCGAGAGAGAGAGTGTGAGGAGAGAGAAACGGGCAGTTCCTATTTTGCCATTTATTTCATCGAGAATGTTAGGCAGGCAGATATATAGATAGGAATAGACTGAAATTAGATAGATAGATAGATAGATAGATAGATAGATAGATAGATACGAACAGACTGAAATTAGATAGATAGATAGATAGATAGATAGATAGATAGATAGATAGATAGATAGATACGAACAGACTGAAATTAGATAGATATGAACAGACTGAGAATAGATAGATACGGACAGACTGAGAATAGATAGATAGATCGATAGATAGATAGATAGATAGATAGAGAGAGAGAGTGAGAGAGAGAGATAGAGATAGATAGATAGATAGATAGATAGATAGATAGATAGATAGGGTGAGGAGAGAGAAACTAGCAGTCCCTATTTTGCCATTTATTTCATCAACAATGTTAGGCAGGTTACTTGCTCTTTCCCTCCGTCCCTGCCGCCTTCCTGATTTCTTTTGAGTATCAAAGCAACCCAGTCTTTCTGATTCTAATTACAAGTGTACTTTTTGTTTCCTTTTTTCCGGAAACTTCCTCGTTACTCCCATATTCTGTTCATGAACATCAACTACTATTAAATGTATAAACAATATGGTGCCAAGTAAACAGAATCTGCAAAAACGTAACTATATGGCTAAATTTCCCTTACAAAAGCTCTGGAAGTCCGTGGCTTAACTTGTCAATTTCCATCCCTTTTAACTGCTCTCAAGAATAATAATTGAATGCAAGTTCAAATCTCATCAAAGACTGCTTTATTTCTACACAATGCTACAAAAGATATTAAAATATTGAAAGGTAGTTTTCGCAAAAGCCTGGCGTACCCTATAGAATTAGTCCTTCAGGTTGTAGACAATTTTATCTTTCCACAGATTCATCTTTTTTATTTTATGGGAATCGCCATGATTTCCAGGAAAGATAGAGGAATGTCTATCTGTTACCTTCTTTAAGATTTCAAGTTTCAGATTTCTCTTTGGCCTAAACTGGCCTCCTCTCAAGATAATCTGCATATATTGAGGTTAACATGATTTGGAGAATTGTTAACCAGCAACCCCTGGGTCACAGGGTCACAGGGTCACAGGGTCACAGTGGTCATTTACGTCAAAGTTGATTCCTTCATAAGCATGTAAGGCCAGGATGCAGTATCCAATCTTGCATCTCGGTAGCATTGACCCTAAGGCCTTGTGGTAAGAATCGAGGTAACCTGACATGAGTTTTATTGCTGTGGACCCTCAGTAGCATAAACAAACGATGTGCATTTGGGGTACCCCCGTGGGATCCAGGCAGGCTAGCCTGTCTTTTTCTACTGTTCAACTGACCTCTTTCATGCAGTTCTTTATCTCAGATTCGCTATGGATGACGTTAAGTATCACGAACGTGGTTTGTCTATTCTTTGCCTATTTCAGACTGGACAGTTGCTGTGTATATTCATTTTGAGTATCAAATCAACCTAATCTTTCTGATTCTAACTACTTTTTGTTTCCTTATTCCTGGAAACTTCCTCTTTACTCACAAATTCATATCTCATCAAATGCAGACTTATTTATAGCCCAACCTGCTTACATTTGACAGTCGTCGAACCTAAGACTTACGAGAAAAAACACAAATAATGCAATGAAAGATAAACCAAATATTAGTCATAAAAATCCTTTATCTCGGAAATTCGGTTAAATCCGGGACATTCCGTCTCCTATGAGGAAATAAATACGACAAAAGAAAACCTTTAAAAAGTCTAACCATATGTGTATACTTTTTCTCTGGAACTTTTTATTGCACTGCAGATATTCCGCCTAGTGGCAGTGTATTTGTTATAAACATGACACATTATTCTAAGAAATTCGCGAAACTAAGAGACCAAAAGAACGACTGATTGTATAGCAATGGGTTTAATAAATTTAAAACGCACTAATTTTTTCAATATTAATGAACTATTAAAAGATGAAGACTTGTTTCTTATGACGAGGCCATATCATTTATCAATCTTTCCACAGTCATCCAAAAAGGTAGTAAGATAGACAAAAGAAGAAGCAGATAGATAGTTTGGTAGATAGATAGATAGATAGATAGGTAGAGAGAGATAAATAGAGAGAGAGGGATAGAGATAGAGATAGGTATTAACATAATAAAATAGACAGATAGATGGATAGATAAGTATTAACATAATAAGATAGATAGATAGATAGATAGATAACGCAGAACAGCAGATAGATAGATAGATAGATAGATAGATAGATAGATAGATAGATAGATAAACAGACTATGATAGATAGATAGATAGATAGAGGACAACAAAAATAAGTTTACGGAACAACTAGTTAAAAAATTCGGACTGATTCATACTTTTATTTTTTCTATTCTTTCGCTCTTCGAATGTTTATTCCAACATTATTCACATCCATCCACCTTATCAGTCATAGAGATCGGAACATTCATACGTACCAATTAATAAATCGTCCGTGTTCGTTAATAAAATACGCACAAGTATTTTATTTTAAAAACAACTCTTTTTCATTTACCCACGTATTATAAATCTTGCGCACTCCTCAAACACACGTATATTGTCGCACACAAGAAAAACATCTGCAAGCATAACACCACATAGAAATATTCAGAGTGTCCATAAATTTCGCGTGCACTTTAAAAAATTTATAACTTTATTTGTATTTGCAATAGAAATAATTTGTAAAAAGGATGAGAAAGAAGTAAATCTATATTTTTTAAAGTTTTATTGAAATTTTATTTAAGTTTCCACATGTCCTCCATCATTAGCAATACAAAGGGTAATACCATTTTGCAGTTAACGGAAAAGATTTGCCAACTGATTTACAATAATGCCCGAAATCACATTAGTTATTTCAGCTATACTTAAAACTAGGTACATTGAACTTTATAACATTTTTTACGGATTATTTCTATCGTAAAAAAATTTTATAAATTTTTTAAAGTGCATACAAACTTTATGGACACTCTGTATATTATCACCATAAATAAACGTTCTTTCACCTTGTGGAAATCAATATTCAATACTTTCTATCTTTTAACTCATTTATTATGGGCCTGGACTGTTATTAAATCGATTCCTTTGGGAAGAACGATTGATTGGTTGTCGCTATCGACACATGATAAAGTGTCTATCACAAGCTCGTCGATTTGTGAAAGTGTTTAATTGGCAGATCTGGATTTCTCAACAAGACGCCATTTTGGGTTTTTTTTTTTGATTGACGAAGAGCTGTTTTTGATATTCTCGTTTTAGTATACGTACTTTAGTGTTGCGTATATTTGAACCGTTGGGAATTTGTTAATTCTACAAGAATACCCCAAAAGAAATAAAAATAAAAAAAATTATATATAATTACCAGTCACGGAAGAGAGATATTTTTTTATTTACAAAATCTTAAATCGAAATCTATAAATAAATACTCTTGAGATTTGATCTTGGCCAAACTGCTAACCCTTCGTCGCCAAATCAGTACAAGCGACGTCCATGTGAAACGGACACGAAGGATATGGGTTCAAATCTTACCGACTTTTACTTTAACGATCTTAGAAAGTAGCGACTATTTGTACACCAGCGTCATTTTGTTGGGTTGGTTTTATTTTTCAGCATATATTAATTGACGATTTCTTTTTCGAGTGATAGGTATGAACTGGAGTTAAGTTATACAGATTTGTTGGTATATTTTCCCCATATTCAACATCAGAGACAAACACTCTAGAAAATGCCCACAGAAATGGCAGAAAGTGCTTGTGAGAATTAATATTATGGACAATTTTGATATTCCTTAACTCCTACATAACCGAACAAAATTGTTAGGATGCTGGAAAAACAAAATAAAAATGATTTAAATCTTTCTTGTCGGCCTTATTCAACGAAAGATGCTTAAAAGAAACGTGGCTGCCAATATATATATATATATATATATATATATATATATGTTGAGGGGGTTCTCCCCTTTTTACACAAATGGACTCACCAAGTATACACATATACTACGACTATGTGAAGACCCGAGGGAGCAAGACCGAAGAGTCGAGTCGAGTCCAAAGTGACAGAATAAAAGGTTGTAAGTAACCGGAAGAGTGAGGGGTGAGGTAACAGCGTTGTAGGAGTCACAGTGAGCGATCACGTAGACTCAGTAAGAAGTCATACAGCGGTACTTCAATACCAAAGACTATATATATATTTTGCTACTAACCCGTATTCCTGGAACTATTAACCTACTTTACCAGTTTGTATTATTACGTTAATACATTATTTTCATATATTCATTCCCGGCGTTTGTTTTTTATTGGTACCGGATTTCAACCCGGAATCCACAACAATATATATATATATATATATATGTGTGTGTGTGTGTGTGTGTGTGTGTGTGTGTGTGTGTGTGTGTGTGTGTGAGGTAAAGGTAAAAATGCGTTGGTATATAATCCAAGTGGATCCTAGTAAAATGATGTATAATTATTTAATAAATTAAGAGTGCGCGCCGGGGTTGATGAGACGGGCGTCTGATGTTTTCGTAATACCACTGTTTCTTGGTCTAATTCAACTCTGACCATTAACATTTCATGTAATACACACACACACACACACACACACACACACACACTAAAACGTCTAACGCCACCTAATCAGATCTTGCTCGTTCACTGCCTTCCTTACCTAAAGGTGTATCAGATTGTATAATGGCATTAACCCTCAATCTCGAGCGCAACGCCGGTGTGACGATGGTTAGTTGCTACGCGCCAACCTTAGGTAGTTCAGAGCAAGAAAAATATGATTTTTACAATCTCCGTCGGGATGTCATCTTCAAAGTCCAACATAAGGATAAATAAATCCTTACAGGTGATTTCAATGCTCGTGTTGGCAATGATTATCATTCTTGGAAGCGCGTTTTATGTCACCATGGTTTTGGTCATGTGAATTCTAATGGATTACGCCTTCTCACTCTCTGCGAGGAATTTGATCTTAGTATTACTAATACCTTCTACCAGAAACCCAGCTGTCGTAAGGCAACGTTGATGCATCCTCGTTCGAAAGACTGGCATCTGATTGACTACATCATCACCAAAAGACGGGACATAAAAGATTTTAAGATAACGCGTTCATTCCACACAAAGTTATCTGGTTTGATCGCGCACTCTACTTCGGAGTAAAGCTAAACTGCATCTGCAAAAGCGAAGGATTATAAAATCTATCGTGACCAAGCACATTAACATACTACCTCTTAAATCGACTGAAACGAAAACTGAGCTCTGTGACAAACTTGATGCTGCACTTGATTCTGTAAATATTACCAATGATATCATCTAGGAAGGCTCTGCGGGATGCATCACATTCTACATCCTTGGAGGTCGTAAATCTCAAGACTGGTTTGATGACAATAATACAGAGGTTCAGCAGCGTATAGATCAATTGAACTCTTCTCATAAAGCAAGGATTTTGAGGAGAAGAACTCGTCCGATAAGAAGATCGCTTACAAGAAGTGCAAAAGTCAGGTTCAACAAGCTCTCAGAACCATGGAAGATCATTGGTGGTCTGAAAAGGACACTGATATCCAAGAAGCTTCAGATAGAAAGGAGATAAATGATTTCTATGCTGGCCTCAAGAGTATTTTCGTCCTCAGAAAAATGGCGTTGCTCCAATCTTCACTGCAGATGGTGAAACTTTCTTGACGGATAAGTCAGACATTTTAGATCGCTGGAAAGAGCATTTCGAAACTGTGTTAAACACCACTTCGGTTACTGACGAGGAAGCCATCGCATCAATTGAGCTAGATCCAGAAATTCCGTCTTTTGAACCCCCCTATTAAGAGGTAAGTCACTCCAAGCAAATCTCATCTGGAAAATCACCTACTCCTAAGGAACCTATTCCTCTTGTGGCCAAAAGTTGGTAAAAAAATTACCTCTCCTTTTCGTGGAGATATGGAAGACAGGTTGTGTCCCACAGGATTATAAAGACGCCTCTGTCAAACACCTCTACATGAACAAGGGTTGCAGGTGTGTCTGTGATAATCATCGGGGGATATCACTACTTTCAATTGCAGGCAAAATCCTAGCTAGATTGATTCTAAACAGAATCATTATACACCTTGTTGACGACATCCTATCCTGAATCGCAGTGTTGTTTTCGGTCGGGTCGTGGCACCATTGACATGATATTTTCTCTTCGTCAAATTGCAGCCGGATGTTTTCCATAAAAGCTGTCTGCGTGCCATCTGTGGAGTTAACCATCAAGATAGGACATCTAAAGTAGACCTGTTTAACAGATGTCTTATTGGAGGAATCGAGACTTTTCTCATACACTCTCAGTTACGGTGGACTTGTCATGTCTTGAGAATGACTCAAGACAGGATACCCAAGATCCTAATGTACAGTCAGTAAGATCAGGGCTACAGGAATGTAGGGAACCCATGGCTAAGATACAAAGACAAGCTGAAGAGCAACTTTCGTTGTCGTCAGCTGTCAATATACCTCATAACACCCTCGAGCGCTTAGCCTTGGAACGAGTAGAATCATGTTTTAGTGGAGTTAGCAGTTTTCAATCTGCTTCTACGAATCATCTTCAAGAAGCGAGAGAAAGATCTAAAAGGTCAGCCAATCTAACAGTGATCACATCTCACAATCCTCACTCTTGCTCCATATGTGGCTTCCTTTGTAGATCACTAGGGGGTCTTAAGTGCCATTTAATATTATCGCACAAAATTTCACAACTGAATCAATTAAGTTGTCAGATCCTCTTACGTCGAAACCGACGAGAGAGTCCATTATATATATATATATATATATATATATATATATATATATATATATATATGAGTATTTAAATTTATGTGCATATGTTCCTGTAGGAGTGTAGGAGTTTTGGTATGTGTATCTGTTTCGGTGTTTGTACAGGAACAACATTCTTTCTGTTCCCCTCTCTACACATGAAAAAGGAACAACTTGGCGAGAAAAAATAAAAAAATAAAGAGCGTCATACGAAGAAACAACAAAATTATGATGACAGATAAATTAAGACAAAGAAAATATTACTATTAAAAGGCTTCACCATTGACTATTGAATCAAATGAAGCGTCACATGTTTTGTACTGAATTGTCTGTGATTTCGTTCAACAACTATAATTGGACGACTCACTTTGGAATAATTATAAGCAAGCTTTACTTGTCGATCATTATGTTCCATACTTGGGCAAAACTAAATTGCGGTTATTAATAAAAACAAACAAGAACTGCTAAAAAGATGCTATTAAATAAATCAAA